TGCCTCGGCCTCCGTTCGCCGGAAGATAGCTGCGGAGGCTACAGGCTCCGCGCACCGCACGCCCGCTAAAGAAATTTTTGTTTGTTTTCTTGAGTAGAGACGAGTTTCAGACCATGTGTAGCGCGGAGTGGGTCTCGCTTTGCGCCTGGCTCAGTGACGGAGGCTGAGGCAGGAGAATTGCTTGAACCTGGGAGGCAGAGGTTGTAGTGAGCCGAGATCGTGCCACTGCACTCCAGCCTGGTGAAAGAGCGAGACTCTGTCTCAAAAAAAACATGATTACTGTAAACCACATCATGAATGACTACTATTAAAAAGTGAAAAAATAACAGTTGCTGGTGAGGTGGCAGAAGAAAAGGAACACACACTGTTGGTAGGATTGTAAATTAGTTCAACCATTGTGGAAAGCAGCGTGGCAATTTCTCAAAGAGCTGAAAACAGAACTACCATTCAACCCAGCAATCCTATTACTGGGTATATACACAAAGGAATATAAATCATTTTATCATAAAGACACATGCACATGTATGTTCACTGCAGCACTATTCACAATAGCAGAGACACAGAATCAACCTAAATGGCCATCAATGGTAGACTGGATAAAGAAAATGTGGTACATACACACCATGGAATACTATGCAGCCATAAAAAAGAATGAGCTCATGTTCTTTGCAGGGACATGGATGGAGACCGAGGCCATTATCCTTAGTGAACGAGCGCAGGAACAGAAAACCAAATACTCGCGTTCTCACTTGTAAGTGGGAGCTAAATGAGGAGAATATATGGACACAAAGAGGGGAACAACAGACACTGGGGCCTATCGGAGGGTGGAGGGTAGGAGGAAGGAGAGGACCAGTAAAAATAATTAATGGGTACCAGGCTTAATACCTGGGTGACGAAATAATCTGTACAACAAACCCCCTCAACAGGGGTTTATCTATGTAACAAACCTGCACATGTATCTCTGAACTGAAAAAAGTTTTTAAAATCCCATCATTAGTATGAGCTCTGGGATCAAACTGGTACTGCATAGCACAAGCCCTCTGCATACAAAAATACTTATTTTTTTTTAGATACGGGGTCTCACTTGTTGCTCAGGCCAGTCTTGAACTTGTGGCCTCCAGCAATCCTCCCACCTCAGCTTCCCAAAGCTATTGGGATTACAGGTGTGAGATACCATGGCCCAAAAAACACTTTGTAAAGATTGTGGCAAAATACGTAGAACATAAAATTTACCATCTTAGCCATTTTTCAATGTATATGCAGTTTAGTAAAGTACATTCATATTGTGCAATCATCAACCACCATCCATCTCCAGAACTCTTTCATCTTGCAACACTGAAACTCCACTCCTTAAACAGCTTCCTATTCTCTCTCTCTCTCCTCTCCCCAGCCTCTGGTAACTGCCATTCTACTTTTTTTGAGGGGATGGTGACATATTCTGCCGCCCTACCTATGCATATGTCCAAACTCATCAAAATATATACATTTAATATGTGCAATTTTTGGTACATTAAGTATACACCTCAATAAAGCTGAAAACAAAAAAGACGGTCTAGCAATCTACATTAGCAGTCTACATTAGCAATCTACATTAGCAGTCTACATTAGCAATCTACATTGGCAGTCTACGTTAACAATCCATTGGCAGCCTACATTAACAATCTACATTAGCAGTCTACGTTAACAATCTACATTGGCAGTCTACGTTAACAATCCACATTGGCAGTCTACGTTAACAATCTACATTAGCAATCTATATTAGCAGTCTATATTAGCAGCCTACATTAGCAATCTACATTAGCAATCTACATTGGCAGTCGACATTAGCAATCTACATTAGCAATCTACATTAGCAATCTACATTAGCAGTCTACATTAGCAATCTACATTAGCAATCTACATTAGCAATCTACATTGGCAGTCTACGTTAACAATCCACATTGGCAGTCTACGTTAACAATCCACATTGGCAGTCTACGTTAACAATCTACATTAGCAATCTATATTAGCAGTCTATATTAGCAGCCTACATTAGCAATCTACATTAGCAATCTACATTAACAATCCACATTGGCAGTCTACGTTAACAATCTACATTAGCAATCTATATTAGCAGTCTATATTAGCAGCCTACATTAGCAATCTACATTAACAGTCTAACGGCCCCACACTACTACCGGGCTCGGTGCCTGTGTCTAGGGTGCCGCAGTTCAAGGAGGGAGCCATAATCCCAGTGCAGGAAAGCATAACTGTGAACTCTTTTTCTCGGTCCCAGGAGGAGGATCCTGTGCTGACTATCATCACCTATGTGGGGCTGAGCCTGTCTCTGCTGTGCCTCCTCCTGGCGGCCCTCACCTTCCTCCTGTGTAAAGCCATCCAGAACACCAGCACCTCACTGCATCTGCAGCTCTCGCTCTGCCTCTTCGTGGCCCACCTCCTCTTCCTCGTGGGGATTGACCAAACTGAATCCAAGGTACTGACAGTGTCTCAGAGGATGCCCTGCCCTGCCCCAAGGGACACTGAGCTCATGGAGCAAGCCTGTGCTGGATTCCTTAATAAAATACCTTTGGGTCTGTAGAGGAGAAAAATATAATTCTCCTGCTACCATTCTGGTAGCTGGGACCCGTATAACAAAAGACGGATAAGAGAAAAAGCAAACAGAAATGTATTAACATGTATATTTCATATATACATGGGAGATACCCAGGGAATGAGGCATTCTCAAAGAGGTAGTTTAGAACAACAGCATTTTTGACAAAGAATGATACATTTTTGGAGAAGGGAAAACGATCTTCGGTCTTTAGGGGCAGCAAAGTATGGGAAGGCAAATATCTGAGAAATGAGCGATAGATAATTAGTATCACTGATTGTATGAGTCCATTTTCAGGCTGCTGATAAAGACATACCCGAGACTGGGAAGAAAAAGAGGTTTAAATGGGCTTACCGTTCCACATGGCGGGGGAGGCCTCAGAATCATGGCGGGAGGCAAAAGGCACTTTTTTTTTTTTTTAGACGGAGGCTTGCTCTGTCGCCCAGGCTGGAGGGCAGTGGTGCCATCTCGGCTCACTGCAAGCTCCACCTCCTGGGTTCACGCCATTCTCCTGCCTCAGCCTCCCAAGTAGCTGGGACTACAGGCGCCCGCCACTATACCCGGCTAATTTTTTCTATTTTTTTAGTAGAGACGGGGTTTCACCGTATTAGCCAGGATGGTCTCCATCTCCCAACCTCGTGATCTGCCCGCCTTGGCCTCCCGAGCAAAACGCACTTTTCACACGGTTGCAGCAAGAGAAAAAAATGAGGAAGATCCAAAGGCGGAAACCCCTGATAAAACCATCAGATCTCGTGAGACTTTTTCCCTACCGCGAGAACAGTATGGGGGGAAACCGCCCTCATGATTCAAATTATCTCCCACCGCGTCCCTCCCACAACACGTGGGGATTATGGGAGTACAATTCAAGATGAGATTTGGGTGGGGACACAGAGCCAAACCATATCATTGGTTTTGTAGATTCCTCCAGCGTTGGCTCCAGACCGATGAGGAACTAAAGTTGTCTTGGTGGCTGGGCACAGTGGCTCACGCCTGTAATCCCAGCACTTTGGGAGGCCGAGGTGGGCAGATCAGCTGAGGTCAGGAGTTCAAGACCAGCCTGGTCAACTTGGGGAAACTCCCTCTCTACTAAAAATACAAAATATTAGCTAAGCATGGTGATGAGCACCTGTAATCCCAGCTACTTGGGAGGCTGAGGCGGGAGAATTGCTTAAACCCGGGAAGCAGAGGCTGCAGTGAGCCAAGATTGTGCCATTGCACTCCAACCTGGGCAACAAGAGCAAGACTCCATCTTAAATAAATAAATAAATAAGTTGTCTTGGTGATCAACTTTCGTCCTCCCCATAGCAAGGGTAGGAGGGTAGAAAGAAGAGAATAGGTAGGAGGAATACCTTTGTAAATTAATGTCCTGGTGTACTACTCAGTCTTCAGAAAAAGAAGGAAATCCTGCCATTTGTGGTAACATGGATGAACTTGGAGAGTGTTATGCTGGGTGAAATAAGCAAGGTACAGAAAGACAAATAGTGCATGATCTCACTTACGTGTGGAATCTAAAATAGCCAAACTCACAAAAGCAAAGAGCAGAAATGGTTGTTAGCAGAGATTAGGGCAGCAGGGAAGGGGTTTAGGGAGATACTGGTCAAAGAATACCAAATTTCAACTAGACAGGAAGAATAAATTCAAGAGAGCTGTTGTACATCATGATGACCATAGTCAATAACAACATATTGCTTATTGAAAAATTGCTAACAAGTAGGTTTTAAGTGTTCTCACCCCCCAAAGAAGACAAGTACATAAAAGTATGTCCTGCTTTTAGGCAAATAGGGAGAGGGCAGGGAGCTTTTTTTGTCTCTGCTTCTTCTCAACTGCCTTCAGTTTCAAATAATCCCTTGGGCCAGACAGAGTGACTCACACCTGTAATCCCAGCACACTGGGAGGCAATGGTGGAAAGATCACTTGAGGCCAGGGGTTCGAGGCCATCCTGGGCAATATAGTGAGACCTTGCCTCTACAAAAAACAAAAAAATAACAAAATTAGCTGGACATAGTGGTGCACATCTGTAGTCCCAGCCGCTTGGGAGGCTGATGCAGGAGGATTACTTGAATCCAGGAGTTTGAGGCTGCAGTAAACTTTGATTGCAACCACTGTACTACAGCCTGGGTGACAGAGCAAGACTCTGTCTCAAAAAAAAAAAAAAAGAATCATAATCACAATCTCTTATGCTAAAGTGAAACTTTTTCCCTCAATTTTATTTTTAATTGAAAAATAATAATTGTATAAATTTATGGGGTACAATGTGAAGTTTCCATAGACGTACACCTTATGAAATGATCAAACCAGGATAATGAACATATCTATCACTTCCATACTTATCATTTCTTTGTGATGAAAACATTTAAAATTCACTCTTTTTGGACTGTGGGTGGAGGCTCATGCTTGTAATCCCAGCACTTTAGGAGGCTGAGGTGGGAGGATCACTTCAGCCCAGGAGTTGGAGACTGGCCTGGGCAATATAGTGAGATCCCGTCTCTGCAAAACTTAGCGAGTATGGTGGTACACACTTATAGTCCCAGCTACTGGGGAGGCTGAAGTGGGAGGATCACTTGAGCCTGAGAGGTCAAGGCTGCAGTGAGCTATGATTGTGCCACTGCACTCCACCTGGGTGACAGAGTGAGATCCTATCTGAAAGAAATAAAATAAAACAAAATCCACTCTTTTAGCAACTTTGAAATTCATAATATATTATTATTAACTATAGTCACCAGGCAGTACAGTAGGAGTAGAGAATAGAAAGGAGGTTCCCAGAGGTTGAGTGGGGAAGTGGATGAGGAAAGGAGACATTGCTCAAAGTATACAAAGTCTTAGTTAAAAAGGAGGGATATATTCTGGTGATCTGTTGCAAAGTGACATAGGTGGAGGTGGCACCACTTTCAGTCCCAAGGGCAGGTTGAAGGGGTTGGTGCCCAGATGGACAATGCTAGCCTTGACTATCAACTATCTTTATTTTTTTTAATATAATTGAGATGGGGTCTCACTAAGTTTCCCAGGCTGGTCTCAAACTCCTGGGCTCAAGCAGTCCTCCCACTTCAGCCTCCCAAAGTGCTGAGATTACAGACATGAGCCACTGCGTCCAGTTCCCCTTTACTTTTAATGCCCTTGGTCTGATGTCAGGTGCTCTGAACCCAAAGCCAATGTCAAGGAGAGGTCCTAGGGCCATACTCCACCCTGACAACCCCTTCAGGCATTCCTTTCTCCTCCCTGAGGTGCTGTGCGCCATCATCGCCGGTGCCTTGCATTATCTCTACCTGGCCGCCTTCACCTGGATGCTGCTGGAGGGCCTGCACCTCTTCCTCACTGCACGGAACCTGACGGTGGTCAACTACTCAAGCATCAACAGACTCATGAAGTGGATCATGTTCCCAGTGGGCTATGGCATTCCCGCTGTGACTGTGGCCATTTCTGCAGCCTCCAGGCCTCACCTTTATGGAACCGCTGATCGGTGAGCTTGAATCCCACCCTGTGTCATGGACAGTTTCCTAAGAAAGCTTTTGAGGGCAGCATTCATGATGATGGTGGGACTATACGTAACCAATGCACTCTATGTTCCCCTTTATAACAGCTCTAACCTCTTTCCCAGCAAGGCAGGGTGAGATGGTGGTAAGAGTTTGCAAGGTTCTAGAAGTCTTATACAACCAACAGGTTCATATGCCCACTGCATAGTAACATACCAATCCACCAAGACAGCAAGGTTTGCAGCAGAGAAAGAGCTTAATGAGGCCAGGTGTAGTGGCTCACACCTGTAATCCCAACACTTTGGGAGGCCAAGGTGAGAGAATCACTTGAGGCCAGGAGTTCAAGACCAGCCTGGGCAATATAGCAGACCCTCATCTCTACAAAAAAAATTAAAAATTAGCTGAGCACAGTGGCTCACACATGTAATCCCAGCACTTTAGGAGGCCCAGGCAGGAAGATCTCTTGAGTTCATGAGTTCAAGACCAGCCTGGGCAACATAGCAAGACCTTGTGTCTACTAAAAATTAAAAAAAATAAAAAAGCCAGGCATGGTGGTACACACCTGTAATCCCAGCTACTCAAGAAGCTGAGATGGAAGGATTGCCTGAGCCCAAGAATTCAAGGCTGCAGTGAGCTATGCTTAGGCCACTACACTCCAGCCTGGGTGACAGATCAAGACCTTGTCTCAAAAAAAAAAAAAAAAAAAAAGAGAGAGAGAGTTTAATAATCTCAGGGCGCCAAGTGAGGAAATGGGAGAAGATTCTGAGATCAATCTCCTCAAGGAGTTCTGGACTGGGGCTTTTAAAGGGATCATGGAGGATGTGGAAGCTGGAAAGGGTGGGTCATTGATTGTTCAGGGTACAGCAGATGAAATCATCAGGAGACGGAAACTGCCTTCCTTGGTGACTCAGCTCCTCCTGTGGTCCTTCGGAGCAGCTGAAGCCAGTAGTTTCACGGGTACACAGGACCTGAAAGAATATCTCAAGGGGAAACTTAATGGTTTTTGTTTTGGTTTGGTTTGGTTTTTTTGAGACAGAGTTTCGCTCTTGTTGCCCAGGCAGGAATGCAATGGCACAGTCTTGGCTGGCTGCAACTTCCACCTTCTGGGTTCAAGCGATTCTCCTGCCTCAGCCTCCCCAGTAGCTGGGATTACAGGTGCCCACAACCACGCCCGGCTAATTTTTGTACTTTTAGTAGACATGGGGTTTCACCATGTTGACCAGACTGGTCTGGAACTCCTGACCTCAGGAGATCCACCCACCTCGGCCTCCCAAAGTGCTGAGATTACAGGCGTGAGCCACAGCACCCAGCTGAAACTTCTTGTTTTATCGTGTTTAAGTTTTTACCTATAGAGCAGTAAAGGGAAACTGTTATCTGGGATCTGTGTGATTCTAGGATAGCAGGCACCAAACAGCTAGGAGGAAGCAGGTCAGAGAGCAAGCTGACCTGGTGGTGAATCCTGGATGGACTGCAAGCTCGGCTTGTTTTCATTTCTCCCCCTTTCTTCTTCTCTGATTATTTTTATAAAGTTTATAGGGATGGCTTCAGAAGGAGAGGGTTTTGGGTGTTGTTGAAAAGACCGTCAAGATGAATAAATAATAGAAAGAAGAGAAGGAAGGAAGGAAGGAAAAAGAAAGAAAGGAAGGAAGGAAGGAAGGAAGGAAGGAAAGAAGGAAAGAAAGAAAAGAAAAGAGAGAGCTTTATTGGCAATATTGGTTTGCTAACCAAAAAAAGAAAGTCTGCAGCATGAGCCAAAGGTGCTTCCTCTTTGAAAAGGGGAAGCACAAGTTAGGTTTTACGCCTCATTAGATCTGTATTACACAACAGAGTCATAAACATTCAGGAGGTTTGGAAAAGCTGTACCTATTTAAGATGAGAGCAGAGTGCATGCACAGTGGATAAACATATATATATATATAAACATGCATCCCATGTTCACTTTGGGGCAGGATTTTAGCATTAAAATAAGATGGAAAAGCCGGGCGCGGTGGCTCAAGCCTGCAATCCCAGCACTTTGGGAGGCTGAGGCAGGTGGATGACCTGAGGTCAGGAGTTGGAGACCAGTGTGGCCAACACAGTGAAACCCTGTATCTACTGAAAAGACAAAAAATTAGCCGGGCGTGGTGGTGTGTGCCTGCAATCTCAGCTACTTGGGAGGCTGAGGGAGGAGAATCACTTGAACCTGGGAGGTGGAGGTTGCAGTGAGCTGAGATCATGCCATTGCACTCCAGCCTGGGCAACAAGAGCTAAACTCCATCTCAAAAAAAAAAAAAAAGATGGAAGACCAGGCATGGCGGTTCACACCTGCAACCCCAGCACTTTGGGAAGTCAAGGAGGAAGGATTGCTTGAGGCCAGGAGTTCAAGACCAGCCTGGGCAACAGAGCAAAACCCCATCTCTACCAAAAAAAAAAAAAAATTGTTTTAATTAGCTGGACATGGTGATGCATGCCTATAGTCCCAGGCTGGGGCAGGAGGATCCCTTGCGCACAGGAGTTCAAGGATGCAGTAAGCTGTGACAGAGCAACTGCACCACAGCCTGAGTGACAGAGCAAGATCCAACTCTAAAAACTATATAAATAAAATAAAATAAATAATGAGGAGGAATGTGGCTCTACACCAAAAGTTGAACCACAGGACACAAAGACAGTTTGTGCACATCCTCTATAAACTAACTGAAACTGGCTTAAGATCCATAACTGCTTTGACTGGTTCCCTTTCCAGTCAGTTATGTGGTCTGGATCGTATATCAGAGGTAGGAGGGGACTTTCCCCTTCCTGCGTCCAAGTGTTCTCATTGTTCAATTCAGGATAGCATTAGGAGATATACCTAATGTAAACGACAAGTTAATGGGTGCAGCACACCAACACGGCACATGGCTACATATGTAACAAACCTGCACGTTGCGCAATGTCCCTAGCAACCTAAAGTATTAAAAAAAAAAAAAGAATAGGTCCAAAAAAAAAAGAGGTAGGGAGGGGACTGATGGCGCCTTGTTCTGGAGTTTAGCAAGTGTGCATTTTCTTGTAGCCAGAGGAATTTAGAGAGTTGCTTCACCAGCCAGGGGCCTGAACCCTGGACCCACAGGTAAACTTGGTTTCCTTAACCTAGGGTCCATCTTTAGTGGGATATAGAACTGTCTATTCCGGGCGGGCGCGGTGGCTCAAGCCTGTAAATCCCAGCACTTTGGGAGGCAGCGAGCGGGCGGATCAAGAGGTCAGCAGATCGAGACCATCCTGGTAACCCGGTGAAACCCCGTCTCTACTAAAAAATACAAAAAACTAGCCGGGCAGGTGGGGGCACCTGTAGTCCCATGGCACTCGGGAGGCTGGAGGGCAGGGAGAATGGTGTAAACCCGGGAAGGCGGTAGGTTGCGTGGGCTGAATCAAGGCCCACTGCATTCCAGGCCTGGGCGACAGAGCGAGACTCCGTCTCAAAAAAAAAAAAAAAAAAAAAGAAGCGTTATCTATTTCCGTCTCTTGGATCACAAGAGTTACGGTCCCAACTTTTTTTTTTTTTTTCTTTTTTTTTGTTGTGACGGACGCCGCTCTGGTCACACCAGGGCGGAAGCGCAGCTCGCGCGATCTCGGCTCCTCCGCCAAGTTCCGTGCCTCCGGTTCACGCCATTTCTCCTGCCTCAGCCTCGCCGAGAGGCTGGACCTACAGGCGCCCTCCCGATGCCCGGGCTTAATTTTTTTTGATCTTTTTTTTTTAGTAGCAGACGTGTTTCCCTGTGTTAGCCAGGATGGTTCTCGATCTGCGTGACTCGTGATCGCGTACCGCCTCCGCCTTCGACAGGTGCTGGAGACAGGTGGTGAACCACAGCGTCTGGCCACGTCCCAACTTCATTCTTCCTGTTGACTTTGAGGCTCGTCAGGTCTCAGTCCCCTCAATTAGCCGAGAATGAGAATAATAGTTGTCGGTTTCCATTGGTTCAACTCCATGCTGTTTGAAAATTTATACAGGGACTTGGCTCTCTAAAATGCTTTTTTTTTTTTTTTTTTTTTTTTTTTGAGCGGGAGTCTTTTTTCTTCTGTTTGCTCTGTCGCCCAGGCTGGATGCAAGTGTGGTATCTCAGCTCACGCAAGCTTCGCTCCAGGTTTAGTCATTTTCTGCCTCAGCCTCCGAGTAGCTGGGACTACAGGCGCTCGCCACCTCGCCCGGCTAGTTTTTTGTATTTTTTAGTAGAGACGGGGTTTCACTGGGTTAGCCAGGATGGTCTCGATCTGCTGACCTCGTGATCCGCCCGTCTCGGCCTCCCAAAGTGCTGGGATTACAGGCTTGAGCCACCGCGCCCGGCCTAAAATGCTTAACAGGACGATGTTCCTCCTAGCTTATTATCCTAGAATCACACCACAGTTACTAAAAAGCTTAAATTCTATAAAAACCCTAAGAATCTGGTAATGTCACAAAGCTGTGTCCACCCCAGCCAATAGAGATCAATCTAGCTATATTAACTCACATATTTAAATTCCAAATTAAACTCTGTACACATACCAATTTAAATGTTTATCTCCAATTGTGTGTAATAGGTTCAATAAGGATCTAAATGAAAATATATTTTGTATAATTCTACTTCAAAATACCTTGAGCTATGAGTACTTTTTATGTTGCAACATCAATTTTAATTCGAGCACATAATTTGTTGTTGTTTTCATTTTAATCATAAAAATAAGACAAGTTTGTTAAATTTTTTTTCATAGTTTTTGAAATATATAAAGTAAAAAGTGAAAGTGGCTGTCACATGTGATGTGTGGATCAAAGCTGCAATCAAAATGTGTAATCAAAGCTGATTGTTGGCTAGGGGTGGTGGCTCACGCCTGTAATCCCAGCACTTTGGGAGGCCAAGGGGAGCAAATCACATGAGATCTGGAGTTCAAGACCAGCCTGGCCAACATGGCCAAACCACATCTCCACTAAAAATGCAAAAATTAGCCAGTGGGTGGTGCACATCTGTAATCCCAGCTAGTCAGGAGACTGAGGCAGGAGAATCACTTGAATCCAGGAGGCAGAGATTGCAGTGAGCAGAGATCGCACCACTGCACTCCAACCTGGGCAACAGAGCAAGACCCTGTCTCAAAAAAAAAAAAAAAATTGCTGATTGTCATCAGCTGACTTTCAAGAGAAACTGGAAACAATTCTCTGGTAGGAAAAGAGTCACTTTATGTTGATCTCATGCACTTTCTCTGATCTCTCTTTGTATCTCTTTTCCCATTGTTCCTAGATGCTGGCTCCACCTGGACCAGGGATTCATCTGGGGTTTCCTTGGCCCAGTCTGTGCCATTTTCTCTGTGAGTATGTGCCTTTGATTTTCCCAAACTAACAAGAACCAAGAGAAGTGCTGGGTACAAGATGGTACAAAGGGCTTGCATTTCCACTGTTGGGTGGATCGATTTTCCACCTGCTACCAGTTCAATCCCATGTACAGGGAGGCTGGACTCCTGCGTGCAATTTAATGTGGAAACCATACATTATTTTAACTTGCATTCTGCCTTGTTTGTATTGGTCCTGCAGGTGAATTTAGTATTTTTTATCTTGGTCTTTTGGATTTTGAAAAGAAAACTTTCCTCCCTCAATAGTGAAGTGTCAACCATCCAGAACACAAGGTAGGATGTGACAAATGGTACTTCCTACTCCCTTTCCTTCTGCCAATCCCTCCTACATATCCACACACGCGTACACTCAACAGCCATGCTCCCAGGACTAGCAAGACCACTGTAATCTTCCACCATCACAATTAACGAGAACCTGTATTAGCTAGAATACAAGCTAAGTTGCTATGAGAAAAAGATGTCCAAAAAAAAAAGAATAAAATAGAACTTTATTTCACTCTCATGTTGCAACCCAGAAGTGAGCAGTTCAGGGCTAATAAAGAAGCTCTGCTCCACACAGTGTTTCAGGGTCTCAAGTTCTTTCTACTTTGTTGCTCTACCATCCTCTAGAAGGATGTTGCCCTTGTCAATATCCCATCCATGGGAAGGAGGTCATATAGGAGTTGCACTTGCCACATTTGCTCATATCTCATTGGCTGATCTTGGTCACATGATAACACCCAGCTGCAAGGGAGGTGGGAAATGTAGTCTCTAACCAAGTGACCGTGTGCCTTGTTTTAAAACTCAAAGAGGAAGAGATCTAACACTAAAAGGAAGATGAAAAGGGAGAAAAACATTTGTTACCGCCACACTACACAAAATGCACACAGGAGTATGTTTTTATCAAAAGCAACCAACTCAGATTTGCTAATCCAACAGTTACTAAAAAGGTTAAATCATATAGAAACCCTAAAAATTAATCTGGTAATGTCACAAAGCTATATCCACCCCAGCCAATAGAGATCAATCTAGCTGTATTAAATCACATGCTTAAATTACAAATTAAACTCTCTGTACACATACCAATTTAAATGTTTATCTCCAATTGTGTGTAATAGGTTCAATAAGAATCTAGATTAAAATACATTTTGTATAATATTTCAAAATATCTTAAGGTATGAGTATTTTTATGTTGCAGTATCCATTTTAATTTGAGCTTGTAATTTGTTGTTGTTTTCATTTTAATCATAAAAATAAGACAAGTTTGGCCCAGCGCGGTGGCTCACGCCTATAATCCCAGCACTTTGGGAGGCTGAGGTGGGCAGATCACACATGAGGTCAGGAGACGGAGACCATCCTGGCTAACATGGTGAAACCCTGTCTATACTGAAAATACAAAAAATTAGCCGGGCGCGGTGGCGGGCGCCTGTGGTCCCAGCTACTCAGGAGGCTGAGGCAAGCGAATGGCGTGAACCCGGGAGGCGGAGCTTGCAGTGAGCCGAGATTGCGCCTGTGCATTCCAGCCTGGGCGACAGAGCAAGACTCTGTCTCAAAAAAAAATAAAATAAAATAAGACAAGTTTGTTAAATTTTTTCATAGTCTTTTGAAATATATACAGTAAAAAGTGAAAGTGATTGTCTCTTTTCCTGCTATTTCCACTTCCCAGGAAGCCAGAATTAAGAGCCTGTATGATATGTGAGATAAAATATCTATGACATTTTCCCAGAGCTTTCTCTGTGCACTTTAAGTAGAACAGACCGACACACACACAATAGGATCACACTATACAAACTGTTCCTCAATTAGCTTTACTCATTTATGTAATCTCCTTAATAATTAGGGATACATATAATGTACATATACATATAATATATATGTGTATATATGCATACATATATAATATATTCTATGCATATATAACATAATATATGATATTTTATATATACATATATAAATATACATATTTTATATATACAATATATAGTGATTATATATTATGATAGCATATATAAAATATATATGTATATATATTATGTGTATATATGCTGTAAAGACTATAAGTAGGATGGCCTCATATCTCAGCTTACCTGGAACAGTCTCAGTTTACGTCTGTTGACACAATGTATAATAGTACCCCTTTTATTTATTATTATTATTTTTATCCTTATTGATACAAAATATTTATATACATTTACGAAGTATTTGTGATATTTTGATTCATGCATAAAATGTGCAATGATCAAATCAGGGTATTTAAGGTATTCATCACCTCAAACATTTATTATTTCTTTCTGTTAGGAACGTTACACCTCCTTTTGATCACAAAAGCCTTCCTGTTTGAATAACAAATTATATGACCCCGGCTGGGCGGGGTGGTTCACACCTGTAATCCCAGTACTTTGGGAGGCCAAGGTGGGTGGATCATTTGAGGTCAGTCGTTCGAGACCAGCCTGGCCAACATGGTGAAACCCTGTCTCTACTAAAAATACAAAAATTAGCTGGGCGTGGCGGCACACCTGTAATCCCAGCTACTCGGGAGGCTAAGGCTGGAGAATCGCTTGAACCCAGGAGGCGGAGGTTGCAGTGAGCTGAGATCACACCACTACACTCCAGCCTGGGCAATAGAGCGAGACTCCATCTCAAAAAAAAAAAAAAATTATATGACCCCTGTCTATAAATGATGAGAGTGAGAGAGAGAAAAAGCATCCAGGTTTTTATATGCCTTATGTATGTGTGGTACTAATTTTGTCTCATACATTGTCCTAAATACTTTCCCATGTTAAAGTCTCACGTAATCTTTATGGCAACCCCATGAAATAGGACAATTATTAAGATAAGGGAACTGAGGCTGGGCATGGTTGTTCACACCTGCAATCCCAATACTTTGAGAGGTCGAGATGGGTGGATCTCTTGAGGTCAGGAGTTCGAGACCAGCCTGGTCAACATGGTGAAACCCCGTCTCCACTAAAGATACAAAAATTAGCAGGGCATGATGGTGCATGCCTGTAGTCCCAGCTACTGGGGAGGCTGAGGCAGGAGAATCGCTTGAACTCTGGAGACAGAGGTTGCAGTGAGTCAAGATCATGTCATTGTGCTCCAGCCTGTGCAACAGAGCAAGACTTCATCTCAAAAATAAAATAAAATAAAATAAAAATAAGATGAGGGAACTGAGTTGCAAGAAGGTAAAGCAGCTTTCCCAAGATCACACAGGTAGCCAGTGCTGGCTTCCATTTAAACCCAGGTAGTCTAACTCCAGAGTTCTCACTATTAACAGCTAACTAGAGGGGTGTTCATGCTCTTTATTAGTTTTTCAACATCCTAATCTCTGACTTCCTCCTCCCAGGATGCTGGCTTTCAAAGCAACAGCTCAGCTCTTTATCCTGGGTTGCACATGGTGTCTGGGCTTCCTACAGGTGGGTCCAGCTGCCCAGGTCATGGCCTACCTCTTCACCATCATCAATAGCCTCCAGGGCTTCTTCATCTTCTTGGTCTACTGCCTTCTCAGCCAACAGGTAAACACTGACCCCTTTCTTTGTTACTTTAAACTTAAGAAAATTTGGGAAATGGAGTTTAATGGGGATTTAAGTCAACATTCTCTAAATGTTCCATATGAGATTATAATCCACCTGTAAACACTCTCTGTTTTCTCTACTTTAAAAATGCTACTAGTTGTTATTAACACATTTCAGAATATAAATAATTGCTATGTCAAAAAAAATCATGCCTTTTTCTCAGTTTTCCCACTTGTAATAGTCAGCTAATGCTGTGTAACAAGCAACCTCAAAAATCTCATTGGTTTAAACACAAATATTTGCTTTTCTTATTCGTGAGTCTACAGGTCTGTTGGGGTTCACATGATCTTAGCTGAGCTCAGCTTGCTTTTGCTCCAGGATGCAGATCAGGTTTAGGCCTGCTCCTTGTGACTCATCCTGAGGCTTAGGCAGAAGTGGGAGCAACTCCCCAGTGAATATTCTTCTCCTAACAATGGTGAAATCACAAAGAGGCAGACCCTACTGGGCAAGGTCACTCAAGCCTGTGATTCTTCTTGCATCGCCTCCACTAATATCCCATTAGCCAAAGCAAGTCACACGGTCAAGCCCAAAGTCAATGGGAAAAGAACACTCAACCCACCAAGAGACTAAGACAAAGTGTAATACAACTACAAAGGAGTGAATCATGGAGATCAACAATGCAGCTAACACACCACTTCACATGAATTCTTTTTTTTTTCCAACTATTATTTTATTTACATTACTATCTCAAGTTACATGGAAAAAGACACCCAAGCAGTTCTGCCTTATTTCAGAAAAAGTTTCCAATCGGCAGGGTGCAGTGGCTCATGCCTGTAATCCCAGCACTTTGGGAGGCTGACATGGGCAGATCACTTGAGGTCAGGAGTTCCAGACCAGCCTGACGAACATGGTGAAACCTCCATCTCTACTAAAAACTACAAAAAAATTACCCAGGCATGATGGAGGTGCCTGTAATCCCAGCTACTCAGGAGGCTAGGCAGGATAATCGCTTGAACCCAGGAGGCAGAGGTTGCAGTGAGCCAAGATCGCACCACTGCACTCCAGCCTGGGCGACAGAGCGAGACTCCGTTCAAAAAAAAAAAAAAAAAAGAAATTACTCCAGAGGGTTTCATTTTGTTTATATAACGAGTATAAGCATTCATTGCTTGTGTTATTGTTATGTATTTATTTATGTGTAGGTATGGGTGTTTATGGCATATCAGAATGGTTCTTACCAGTAGCAATTGTGTTCCTACCACGGGACAGTTAGCAATGTCTGGGGAAATGTTTGTCATAACCGGGGTGGGGTTTGCTACTGGCATCTCGTAGGTGGAGGTCAGGGATGCTGCTAAATATCCTAAACAGGCCGGGCGCGGTGGCTCAAGCCTGTAATCCCAGCACTTTGGGAGGCCGAGACGGGCGGATCACAAGGTCAGGAGATCGAGACCATCCTGGCTAACACGGTGAAATCCCGTCTCTACTAAAAATACAAAAAAACTAGCCGGGCGAGGTGGCGGGCGCCTGTAGTCCCAGCTGCTCGGGAGGCTGAGGCAGGAGAATTGCGTGAATCCGGGAGGCGGAGCTTGCAGTGAGCGGAGATCTGGCCACTGCACTCCAGCCTGGGCGACAGAGCGAGACTCCGTCCAAAAAAAAAAAAAAAAAAAATCCTAATGCACACAGGACAGCTCTCTCCAGCAAAACATAATCCAACCCAAGACGTCAATAGTGTCAATGTTGGGATCATGGTATGGCAGATGCTGTCCATGGCCCTCTCATATCCTTCTGGCTTCTGTCTCTACTTGCCTGGAGTTACTTGTTGCGAACACATATAACTGTGCCTGAAGGCTTCATACTGCCCACAGGACATGCCTGGCCCATGCACAGGGCAAACTGGTGATGCCAAAGAGTAATGGCCCTTGAGAGCGGCCATCAACCCATGACTGATGGGAGCTGGTGGATAAATACCCCAGCTCCCTCCTCCTTCAGGCAAGTTGACTCTAAGGTAGTTCCATGCTGTACCCCAGAGCTCCTGAATGGGACTGAGCCCCAGATTTCCACAATGGAAATATCCTTAATTATGCATTCTTTACCAGCTGCCTTCTCTTCCCTGTGCTGCTTCCTCATTGCCCTACTGGTGCTTCTTGGGATCACCCCTCAAATTCCTTACACTTCAACCCTTGTTGCAGGGTCTGCTTCTGAGGTGCCCAAAACCAAGACACATTGAAGGGTACTACCAAAATATTATTGGTGATTTTCACTAGATTGAGGAATTATATGTAACTTCTATTTTCTTCCTTTTGCATATGCATATCTTATAAATTTTCTATTTTTTTCTTTTCTTTTTCTTTTTTTTTTCTTTTTTTTTTTTTTTTAGACGACGTGTCGCTCTGTCTCCTAGGCTGGAGTGCAGTGCTGCGATCTCAGCTCACTGCAACCTCCGCCTCCCAGGTTCAAGCAGCCTCTGGAATAGCTGGGGTTAGAGTCATGTGCCATGTCTGGCTAATTTTTGTATTTTTAGTGGAGATGGGGTTTTGCTATATTGGTCAGGCTGGTCTTGAACTCCTGACCTCAGGTGATCCACCCGCCTCGGCGTCCCAAAGTGCTGGGATTACAGGTGTGAGCCACCACACCCGGCCATAAATTTTCTACAACAATTATATACCCTGTAATGGAAAATTTGTATTGTGGTAAAACATATATAATATAAAATTACCTTTTAAACCATTTTTAAGCGTAAGATAGCATCACATTCGCAATGTTGTGCAACCATCACCAACATCCATCTCCGGAACTTTATTCATCTTCCCACACTGAAACTCCATCCCCATTAAACACTAACTCCCCACTCTCCTTCCCCCCAGGCCCTGGAAACCACTATTCTACTTTATGTCTACATGGATTTGACTACTTTAGGTACCTCATATAAGTAGAACCATACAGTATTCGCCTTTCGTTATCAGCTTATTTTACTTAGGCTGATGTCCTCAAGGTTCGTCCGTGTGGTAGAATATTGTCAGAATCTCCTTCCTTTATAAAATTGAATAATATTCCGTTGTACGAATAGACCATGTTTTGTGAAAATAAACAAATAATAATACATCTCTATCCTCTTCCTGACTCACTGACCTTTCTGCTCTTCACCAATGTTAGCAAAACCCATCCAGGTATTTCCTTTGATGTTCCAGGTCCAGAAACAATATCAAAAGTGGTTTAGAGAGATTGTAAAATCAAAATCTGAGTCTGAGACATACACACTTTCCAGCAAGGTGGGTCCTGACTCAAAACCCAGTGAGGTAAGTGAACATGTGAATTGTTCTAATGTTTTATATACTCCTCTCTTGACACTGCAAACTTCCTCTAGTTTGGAGGTTTTTGTTTGTTTGTTTGTTTGTTTGTTTTAAGTTCCGAGGTTACACGTACAGGATGTGCAGGTTTGTTACACAGGTAAACGTGTGCCATGGTGGTTTGCTGCACCTATCAACCCATGACCTAGGTATTAAGCCCAGCATTGGCTGGGCGTGGTGGCTCACGCCTGTCATCCCAGCATTTTGGGAGGCCGAGGTGGGTGGATCACCTGAGGTCAGGAGTTCAAGACCAGCCTGACCAACATAGTGAAACTCCATCTCTACTAAAAATACAAAAATTAGCCCATCGTACACGGGAAATGCTGCGCGTTGTTACGCACAAGGTAGAACGTGTGGCCATGGTGGTGCTTGCTGGCAGCGGTGGGACCTACAGGTGCACGTATCACCAACGCGACGGGC